AGAGAGAGAGAGAGAGAGAGAGAAAAGAAAAAAAATAGAATATCGAAATAAAATCAGATACGTACTTTGTACGGGTGCCGATCGCGATTCGGAGATACAATGATCTCTTGTCCAGTTTGCAGGGATCCAACGGGTGTAGACTGAAAACGAAACACAAATATTACATTCAAGAGGAGTGTAATCGTTTTACCAAACGGTGCTTACAGATATAGATGAATTTCGTATAACATACTTGTAGACAGGAATGAAACAATAATTGACGGTAACATTCGATATTATTATTATTTCGTACGCTGCTCTTCGAACTGGCAGATAGAATAGAACGAACATTCACATTGAAATAAAAATACAATTAATATTGTCTGCAAACAGAAAGCATTCTAAATTAACTGATGGAAACTGGATGGATGCATTGAAGTTCATTTACTCGAAGGATGAGAACAGTATCATGGAAAAGATAATTTACGTAATTTACGTAATTTACGTAAATACAAATCTGATCTACATGTTACACTACTGCCATCCAATGTTCTATAAAGAAGTGAAAATCTTCTCAATCGACTCACCGAGTCTCGATCGGTGAAACTACACGCGACACAGAACAAATTCGTCCGATTAATGAAGAGACGCAGCAAAGTGATGTGATACCTTTACTACATTACACGCACGTTACATGCACTACTTTATATTGATGACTACTGTGACAGAATCTTTATACTACGAGTGCATAAATTAAACAACTTGAACAGACACGAGTCGAGAGAAAGGAAAGAAAACACGCGTGCTCTTAAATGGTGAACGCAACTGTTGGACATAGAATGCGAATCTCGGTCAAAACGAGATATCGTGTCTCTAAGGAGGAATAAGATTTTCACGCTCAACGAAATAAAAGTCGATAAGCTCCCAGCATCGTTCCATGCGCGCTTTACGAGCGATTCTCTTCGAGCAGGTATTACACGCTTCTTTGACAAACTATCTTGGAACAGCGTCGTCCTTTTTTTTTTTTTTTTTTTCTTTGTACAATACACACATATTTCAACAGCACGTATTAACACAGTCAGTGTGTCTCTTTCGAACAATTTCGATGATTCAAGCTGTAGGCTTGCGTACCAGCAAATAGAGACGCGAGCCTCGCGTACCGCTTATCACCCACCTTGTCGGACTTAGTCTTTCCAACGTGAGAGGGAGGAGCCATCCTCAGAGCTCTAAGCTGCTCGAAGTTGGATGGCTAGAGATAGCATTGAAGGCAGCATGCAAACGTGAAAAATCAGTGAAACACGTCTTTTTCCTTTTCTTTTCTTTTCTTTTCTTTTCGCGAAAAACATGTTTTTTTTCTCGGAGAGCCGGCGTAGAGGACGACTTACTTACCCAGAAGAGACGATATCTCGATGTTTCTACACAGATTGTGTCGCTAAAGCTACTATGTACAATGTAACGAACACGTTCGCACGATTGGAACAAAGTCAAGAAAGTTGTATGCTGATAAAAGATCTTTTAATTTACGCAATCCAATGAATAAACGTAGACGTTTAATTGTACACGTTTTAATATGTCGTTAAATCGGGAATCGATCGAGTATCGAAACACAGTGAAGGAAAGAAAGAAAGAGAGAAGGGAAGAATGAGAAAAGACAATTTCGCCGTGAGGTTTTGATATCGACTCTTGCGACACGTGCTTCGTCCCTGGGCATAATCGACCATCGTGCAACTCTCCCCTATTATTCTGTCTTCTTTTCTTGCATGCATTGCCAAGAGATCAAAGAGAAAGTGATCGCATCACTTGGATCATCACTTGATCGTCAGTGAATCACGTACCATCGTCTTGCCACTCCAGTCGAATTCACCGTCGTCGACGAAACCTCGTTTCTCGTACAGATCGTGGAAGAGGTTCCTCAGGTACTCGTAGTCGGGCGTCTCGAAGAAATCCAATCTACGCACGTATCGCAAGTACGTAGCCATTTCCTCGGGATGACCATCGCAGAGAACCTCGATCGGCGTGTTCCGTTTCGTGTCGCCGATCTTCTGGTACCGTTCCTTCAGCGTGTCCGCTTTCAGCCCTTGCCACGGCAGGCTGCCACGTAGGAAGTACATCAGCATGTTCCCTAACGCCTCTAGATCGTCTCGTCTGCTCTGCTCTGAGTGAACAAGTACAGAAAAACGGAAACTTAGAGTAATCTATAACGTATTACAACAGACTCAAACATGATTTCCAAACAAAATCACTGGCTTGAGTCATAAATAATTCTCGTCTCGCTGAAACAAATCTTTATTTATCGACGAACAACAATTGTATCCTGATCTACGATCTATATTTAGCTAGTATTATATGCTCGTTTTATCCATTTATCAGGTAGCTTCGTTGGCTGATTTCGATGTGAGAAAAAGTTTTTGACAAAGCGTTTTCGACAAAGGATGGAAAAAGGTAATAATCAGGTGAGTATGGAGTGAAACAGAGCAGCCAAGCTCTAAAAATTCTTCCCTGCGTTACCCTTGCTCTCTGCTTTGTTCTTTTCACTAACAATAAGAGTATGTGGAACCTAAACACCCAGCTTGCTGACTTTTCCCATCTCTTCTAAATGATAGCATACGGTGAATTGTGATGAATTGCATTCTGATGTGCACCCCGGTCTGGATTCATCTTCCTGAATGAAATTTGGCAAGCCAACTATGGCACTTGCCGGTCGGTTGTGACTCTTTTATCACAAACAGTGCACATTTTCTTAGACATCACCGTTCTCTCTATTGCTGAAACTCTCGCAGCGTTACGTGTCAAATATTTTCGATCCCTTTAATTTCAAGGCTGAGGAATTTGACGAATGCAAGCTCGTTGCAATTCGTTGCCCAGGAAACGGAAATTATTTATGACTCGACTTAACATTACGTTAAGTCGGTCTGATGAAACGTCGGAACAATCGAACGAACGCACAGAGTCTTGCGGGACAGAGAACAGTTCGTGGGGAATGTAAATCGCACGACACGTCGGACAGAACAGAACGCGGGCAAACGTTCTCACTTGTAGGAGATTCTCTATATCTCGTACGTCGCGTGCTCGCTCACAACTTTCTCCGGGTGCCGGTGGTGAAGAACGAGCACGCGGCGATGTTTGAAAAAGTTCGCGCAGATGGGACGGCAAGTTGGCCACAGCTCGGGCTCGTTTGATCCGACAAATCTAAACCGGCGAGGTAAAAGTTACCTTTTCCAAGGTGCGTGTTGATGCTCATGTAACGCGCCGTGCCAGTCAGGCTTTTGTGTTCCCGATACGGTATGTGCTTGTTCGTCTCCAGATCTATGTACTCTTTGGCCAGTCCGAAATCAATGATGTGGATGATCTTCTCCCGTTTGGTTGTGCATCGCCCTATCAGAAAGTTCTCCGGCTTGATATCGCGGTAGATCAAGTGCCGACTGTGAACGTACTCTATCCTGTAGAGCTGAGGAAGAAGAAGAGGCGACATTTCCATTAATATTTCGAGCTGCGACGTAACCTTTTTAAATGAGACTTATTAGGTATTCGATCAAATTTTGTAAGTTTGCACGTCTGCTCTAGCGGAGAACGAATAGAATTCCCGAAATCGAGATTTAATCGAGCAAACTGGTAATAAAATTTAATTCCACTTACGATTTGCGTGGCGATTTTGAGAACGGTCTTTAGGGTAAACCTCCTACCGCAGAGGTCGAACAGGTCCTCCAGACTTGGTCCGAGTAGCTCCATCACCAGGGCGTTGTACTTCCCGCAAGGACCGAAGTAGTACACCTCCGGTATACCCTCTGCGCACGATTCGTCGCATTAATCGATCGGGATGTGAATTATTTAAATGGAAATTCCGGCCACGGGCATGGAGGATGCTCATTCGATACTCACCATGTGTACCTAATAATTTGTAAAACCTATATTCTAAGTGTAGCTGCGGTGCCTTTGACCTCATTGGTTCCTGAAAAATTGGAAACAGACGTTTGCTTTAAAAACGTAACTGTCGATCATCGCACGGCTTCGTTCGCAAGCTCGTCTATCAAGCAACGAATCGAGCAGAGATTTCTTCTCTCTGGGCAACTTGTTGGACATCGAATTTGAAAATTGTCAAAAACAGCAATTAAGCAAGCTTCCTCGTATCTTTCTCTCTCTATGTATATATATATAT